CCCTTCTTCCCTCCCTCCTTTCTTCCTTCCTTCCTTCTTTCTTTTTTTTCTCTTTTCTTTTTTCTGAGATAGGGTCTCACTATGTAGCCCGGGGTGGACCTAAGCTTGTGGTGATCCTCCTGCCTCAGCCCCCCAATTGCTGGAATTACAGAAATGTGTCATCATACCCAGCTTAAAATTTAATTTTCGTTTTTGTTCTTTTCCCTCTCTTCTTCCCTTTGATTTTTTTTTTTTTTTTTTTTTGAGTGGTACTGAGGATAGAAGCCAGGGCTTAATGAATGTAGGCAGGTATTGTGTCACCAAGCTACAGCTGCAGCCTTCTGTTTTTTTTTGTTTTTGTTTTTTTTTTTTTTTTTGATGGGATTAGGCATGTTAAGGGCATAGACTGGGGTTTTTTTTGTTTTTTTTTCCAGTACCAGGAATTGAACTCATGACCTTGCGCTTGCCAGGCAGGTGCTGTGCCACTGAGCTAAATCCCCAGCCCCATGTTTTTTAAATTTTCAGACAGAGTCTTGCTAAGTTGCCTAGGCGAGGTTTGAACTTGCAGTCCTCCTGTCTCAGCCTCTTAAGTAGCTGGGATGGCAGCAACAAAGTTCTTAGACTTTTCCCCATAAACTTCCCGTGTTCCTCGGTGAGTGGAAGTACCCACCGTGCCAGCTGCTTGTGCACCTTGGCTCACGCCTGTCACACGGGCAGGCCGGCCTTTCTGGGGACAGCGGTCAGGTGACTTTCGTCTGGCTTGGGGGGAGCTTGTGAGGCCGCAGTGGCCTGTCCTGGAGCCAGCGTCCCAGCCATAGGCGACCTTCCCACTGTGGCTCGCTGGCCCTGGTCAGTGTGCATGGCCGCGGCAGGCTGCCCACCTCCTGCCAGGAGTTCTCCGGGAGGAGGCGAGCGGCGGTGTTTCCCAGGGCACTGTGCTTTGCCGGAGGGGGCTCACTGCCAGGCGGGCTGGCCAGGCCCTCCCTGCCTGTGCCCCCAGGCGCCATGCTGCCTACGCACAGGGCTGCCCAAGCCAAGAGGGCACAGTGGGCCCCACAGCCCCCCAGGCGGGCGACGTTGCTCTCGCCGAGGTGCTGGTGTAACAGCGCCGGGCTTCTTCCCTTGCTCCCAGCGGCCAGGCGCACTGCTGGCTGCGGAGCTTCTCTTGTTGGACATGCCCCGCCCTGCACGGCAGCCTTCACTGCCCTGGGCATCTTTGCCCGGCCTAGCCCTGGCTCTAGGGTCGCCACAGCAGCCCTCACATGAGGCTGTGCCCTCTCCAGCACGCCGGGCGGGTAAGGCCCCATCCTCTCTCTCCTCTTCCCGCCTTCGTCTGACGGCAGAAGTAGATCTGCTGCCCGTGGACCCCTAGGTTCAGCTGTGACGGTGGCTTCCTGGGCAGGGACCCCTAGGGCAGCTGGGGGTGTCTCAGGCACTGTAGGAGTCGGGCAGCAGACGCCAGCACCCTGCCCTGAATGCAGCCTGAAAGTCTGTGGACACTGCCAGCATGCCTGTCCCCTGGGCAGAGCGCAGCTGGCAGGACCCCTGCCAGACCCACACTTCTGTCAACCTGCGGCCCCGTGTGGATTTCGCAAGCCACTTCCTGTTGCTTCACCTCGGAAGCCTCTTGGCTTTGGGGAGCGAGTAGATCAGGGGTTTCTGGGCCTGTCTCAGCAGGACAGGGTCCCGGCCAGCACAGTGACCAGGCCTCACCCCACCCCCGTTCCCTGGCCCTCCTGCTCTCCCTGGGCGGCGCTGTCTTGCTGTAACCCATCCTGTGGCGGTGCTGCTGGAGGACTTTGCCCGCCTGTGCTCAGCACCCCAGTGACCGTGGGGCCCCGCGTCCTCGACCCTCAGGTCCTGTCCTCTGTGTGGCGTTGTCTCAGCCTGGGCGTGACCTCGTTCCCCTCAGCACACAGGTGGCACCCAGGGTGCCATCTGTCCCTGGGGAGCACCCAGCAAGGGCACCCGGGCCTCTGCCACCCAGGCCTGACTGGGCCGGTTGACCAGAACCGTCGGGTGGCGGCCTCAGGGCCCTGCAGACAGTGCTTGCAGCATGGCCACCTGAGGCGCCGGGTCCCAGCTCTGGAGACAGCTCAGGTGGCGTCCTGAGTCACCCAGCCTGGTCCACATCCAGCCCGGGCTGCCCCTGGGGCCACTGCGGTGATAGGGACCCTGACGGTGCCCAGGTCCTGCTGTTTAATGAGGTGACAGCGCCCCAAACAGCACTGCAGCAGGGCCTGGGTCCCCTTGTCTGCCTCCTCCTTGAAGCCCAACGGATTCTCTTCTGCCCTCCTGCAGAGTTCGTTGGCATCGGCTGGACCTGCAGGGCTGTGCAGCCCTTTGAGAGGCACTGCCAGAGGGCCCGGCACGCTTGATGGGCCGCTGGGTGCCGGGGTGCGGGGCTGCCCTGGGTCAGTGCTGGGGCTCACTGGCGTGCTTCCAGCTGCTCCCCTCTGCCCCCAGGGCCTTGGACTCAAGACCAGGCCCTTCGTCCTCTTCCAGCTCCCACCTGCTGCCAGCCCTGCTCGGGAAGCTCCCCTAGGGTCCAGTCCAGTGGGGGGCCCTGCAGTTGCTTCCTACTCCTGGGCACCTCCAGCCTGAGCCACCAGACCACTGCTAAAAGGCCAAAGCTGGAGCTGGGTGTGCTGGCAGCGCACGCCTATAATCCCAGCATCCCAGGAGGCAGAGGCAGGAGGATTGCAGGTGTGAGCACACCCTTGGCAACTCAGGGAGTTACTGAGACCCTGTCTCAAAAAATGACAGTGGCTGGGGCTGTGGCTCAGTGCAGAGGCCTTAGGTTCAGTCACAGCACACATGCCCCCCACAGAAGAGCCCACTGTGTGTGCCAGGCACTGTGCCCCATGCCAGTGCTGGAGCAGCGGGCGTGCCATGACCCCCAGTCACTCGGCTGTGTACGGGGAGGCAGCCGGGCTGACCCAGCCCTGCAGGAGCTTGGACCCCACTTCCTTCACAGACAGGGGCGGGGCTTCCAGAGCCCCCCATTCGGGGCCACCAAAAGGGCAGGGCTTCACCCCAGGGGGTCCTCAGCGCCAGGAGGCAGCGGCATCGTGCAAGCAAAGTGCGCCCTGCGGCAGCTCTGCGCCACCTGGGAACTGTATTCAGAACCACAGAATGTCCATCTTAGGCAAAGGCATTGCCCGTTCCCAGCACCCCCCCAAAACAGCTGTGCCGGGGTCACTGCCGCAGGTCTGGAGACGCGTCGTTTCACACCCTTTCAGCTCTTCAGAAAGCCTGCTTTGCTCCAGCGCCGCTGCCAGGACTTGACCCTGTGGTCTGCCGTCACGGCCGCCAGGCTCCGAGCGGAGCTGTGACGGGGGCGTGTGTGGTCCTGTGCCCCGGGTGCCCCTCTCAGGCCGGCGTGTCCTGGAGTCTGGCTGACTCTGATGGCACAGGTGACCGGGACAGGCGTCTCTCCCTGGGAGGATGCGGGTGGGCGGGCTGCCGACAGGGCCGCCCTTGGTCCCGCGTGCGCCCTGGCGGTGGCTGAGCTTGGAGCGCTGGGCCAGGCCTGCAAGGTGCTGCTGCGCACGCGCGTGTGGGGAGGGGCGGCGGGCGGGTCCACGGGGCCTGTGGAGGGAGGGCGCAGCGCACAGCCCGCACGGGGGAGAGTCCTGGTCCTGCGCTTGCTGGGTCGCGTGGGACAGGAACCTGAGGACAGGGCCGGCATGTCGCCTGCTCCTGGGGGAAGCCTTGGTGTTGGGGTGCCCGTGGGGGGAGTGGGTGCAGGAAGAGGCCTGAGGGTGCGGGTGAGGGTTGATGGCCGCCTTTGCACCACCAGGCCTAGGAGGGGCTGTGGGAGGAGCGGTTCTGCCTGCTGCGGCCCTTCACAGGCACCCTGGCAGCCCACATCTGAGCCGCACCTGCTCGTGGCTGCCACACAGCCTCGTGGTGTGAGGACACCAGTCATGGTGCCACCTTGGCATCCCTAGACCTGCTCCACGTCGCCCCTGTGCTTCCTCCAACAGGAGCCCACCTTCCTGGCCTAACCTCGCCTCACTGGCCCCTGAAAGTGACAGCAGGCAGGACTGCTGTGTCTTACTCTCTCCTTAGCCCCAGGAGGACCCTGTGTCACCATCCAGTTTTCTTTCATGTGTTAAAAACGACTAACAGAGCCCGGTGCAGTGGTGCACGCCTATAACCTCAGTCCTCCAGAGGCTGAGGCAGGAGGATCTCAAGTTCAAGCCTGGGCAACTTACTGAGCCTATCTGAGAATAAAAAATAACAAGGGGCTGAGGATGTTGCTCTGGGCAAAGGCCCTGAGTTCCATTCCCAGCTCCCTAAGTTAACAGAGCCTGGGTTCCGTCCCGGCACTGGGAGAAAGTGCTTCAGGATAGGACCGTGTTCCCGCCTGTCCTGTGCGTCCCCAGATGGCACCAGAGACCTGCGAGCAGTTTCCACGTGCGCCACAGCCCTACCTGGGCCCTGGGTGCACTCTGATCTGCTTCTCTGAGTCGCCTGTCGGGTGGAGATGGTGGACATACACCGCGCGGTCCCTGTGGGCTTTGCTGCTCCCCCTTGTCCCTGCCTGCCCCCCCAGGGGCAGCTGCGAGGCGGGACTTGCCGAGCTGGTGGCTTCTTGGGGATCCTTGGGGAGTGGGTGTAACTGCTCACCCTGTCCTGCCCTCGCTGCTCCCCGTGCTGAGTCCTGCCCTCCTTCCTCCTCCCCCACGGGGTCACGCCTCAGCGACGGCCTCCAGGACGTGGTGCAGGCTCCTGACCCCCAGTCCCAGGCACACTGCCGGCCTCCCCATCGGGGCTGCTGGCTCGAGGCGCTGGTTTTGCCTCTTACGTGGCGCCAGGCCTGTCTGTCAGGAATTCCTATCGATGCTTCAAAACCCTGCTCCAGTGACCCACCCTGGACAGCTCCAGTGTTAAGGTGCACGCGTGTTTGTCCTGCTGTCTTTGGCAGCAGTGCCCCCATCTTGCTCCTCGTGTAGCTGGGAAGTTTTCCCCGGTTTTAGTCTGTGCTGACATTTTCCCATTCTGTTTGGTTGTAGGATTCTGTGTCACTGAGACCGACGATCCGATTTCAAGGAAGCCAAGGGGTGAGTTGGTTTTGTCTCTGTCACGCCAGGGCTGTGGGATCTTGCCGCGGCAGCCTGTGCGTGCCCTGTCCACTTGTGCTTGGGCCTGCACTGGGGCCAGGGCCGCACTGAGCCAGGCCGTCGCCCCGCAGGCCGCCTACAGGCAGAGTGCCTGCGCCATGGTGGCCGAGGGAGGCAGGAGCTCGGCAGCCAGCACGGGCATACACATGGCAGCCGGCACTCGGGAGGCAGCAGGGCTCCTCCTAGAGGGTCACAGCCACGCAGGCTCTGTGTCAAAAAAGAAAGAGCCTCACTGCCCTCATTTCCCCTGAAGTAGGCTTCATTCTACTCACAGAACCAGGCATGGAAGCCAGGGTCTTTTCCTCAAGCTATGCCCCCAGCTCTGTTAAGTCCCTCAGTTGCCCAGGCTGGCCTCAAACATGGAGATCCTCCTGCCTCAGCCTCCCAGAGTTCTGGGATTGCAGGCATGCACCGCTGTGCCTGGCTAACATACTTCCTTTGAAACGACCCTCTTGGAGAAACTCCCGAGGCTGAGGTGCCCACCACCCCTGCCCTAAGTCCTACTGCTGCCCTCTGGGTCCTCGGTGTCTGACCCCAGGCTGCCAGTGGCCACTGAGTCGGCCCCCAGGCCCCAGCCCAGCTCAGAGCTCCTCACCCCAGGGCGACGCTTCCTGTCCCCGGACCACGGAGCCCGGTGCAAACCTGGGTCAGATGTCCGGGCATGCAGAAGCCCATGGGCTCGGCCTGGTGGTCAGCGGAGCCCTCAGGGCCCGGTGCCCTCCGCGCTAGCCTAGGACACACCCCCGGGTCAGAGGTCGGGTCAGCATCCCTCGGCCAGCGTGGCGAGGGCGCCCCCTGGTGACACACAGTCTCGTGCGGTGGTGACGCTGCGCAGCTTGCCGCCCGCCCGTCCCATCCCACCCGCGCAGGCCTGCACCCGGCGTGCGCGCCCGGGCCCTGGCCTGAGGGGAGCACTGCGGGCGCCCTAGGGAGGCGGCGGCGGCGAGCGGGCCGGAGTGCCGTGCAGGCGCGACAGCACAGGTCACCACCAGGGGGCGCTCTACCTCCCTCGCTGGGCTTCGGCGGGCAGGAACGCCCCCTCCCCAGCCGGGCGCCGCACAGAGCCGGGCCTGCCTCTGCGTGCCTCAGTTTCCCTCCGTGAAGACGAGCCGGGGCTGTGACACTGGTTAGACCTCTGTGCCAGAACTCGGGTCCACCGTGTTGTCCGGCCCGCGCTTCAAGTGCAGCCCCAGGGGCGCAGGGAGCCAGGGCATCCGCGCCGCGCGGCTGGCAGGGGAGGAACCCGGCTGGGTGTTGATCGCCTTTAGGTTGCTTCTGCCCGCGGGGTCCGCAGCGTGTAGTGCTCAGGGCCAGCGCTGTGCCTGCGCCTCCCTCCCCCCTGCCCCACCCCTCCCTTCCCTCCTGCACCTTCCACCTCGTGGACCCCTCCCGTGGGCAAAAGCTCTATTTCCACATCCTTCCTACTTTTTTTTTTTGTCTTTTTGAGACAGGGTCCGGCTATGCAGTGCAGGCTGGCCTTGAGCTCACTTTGTAGCCCAGGCTGGTCTCGAACTCGCAACCGTCCTCCTGCCTCAGCCTCCCAAGTGCTGGAATTATAGGCATGCACCACTACACCCGGCTTCCATTTCTGTTTCTTATTTCAGTTTCTTTTTTTCTCTCCCCTCCCTACCCCCCCTCCATCTGTTGACCCCCCTACCCATTTGGAAAATATCTACTTCCTGTTACCTTTTATTTTGCTCTGTCTTTGTATTTTGGGTTCTGATACAGGGGAAGCTGTGGGGTGTGGTGGCGCACGCTTGTAATCCCAGCACTTGGGAGGCTGAGGCAGGAGGATCATTGCCAGTTCAAGGCCAGCCTGAAAAAAGAAAAAAAAAAGGCCAGCCTAGGCTACAAAGTGAGCTCAAGGCCAGCCTAAACTGCATAGGGAGATCCTGTCTCAAAAACACGAAAAAAAGAAATTAATGACGTCTGATATAAGGGAAGCCTTGCAATGTTAGAGCTTGTGTGTGTGACTAATATCACTTAACATTATATTCTCACAGTGCATCCATCTACCTATGAGTGCCTCGGGGCTGTCCTTTTTTCTGGCAGGGTAGTGTTCTATAGTGTGTCATTCTGCATTTTCTTTATCCTTCATCTGTTGATGGACAGAGAGGCCACTTCCAAGACTTAGCTATTAGGAATTTTGCTGTTCTAAGCATGGGTATGCACCGATCACGATAGTGTGATCTGTTTAACTCTTTGGGGAAGATCCTAGAAGGAGGATACCTGGGTCAAGAGAAATGTCTAGCTGTAGTTATTTGAGGACTCTCCACAGTGACCTCCGCAGTGGCTGCAGCAGTCCGCACGCCCACCAGCACTGCGGAAGGGCTCCTTTTCCTCCCAGCCTCTCCCGCATGTTCACGGTGATGGCCATTCTTTCTGCAGTGAGGTGGAATCATTTGTGTTTCTGTAATAGTAACGAGGAGCGTTTCTTCATGTGCTTCTTGGCCATCTGTGTTTCTGAGAAGTGTCTGTTCATTCCACTTGCCCTTTTTTTGTCTGGGTCTTTTATTTCGGGGGCCTAAATTTTGTATTTCTTTGTATATCCTAGATATGAGCTCTCTGAGCAGTAGCCGGCAGTGTTTTCTCCCCGTTCTGGGGCTGTCTCTTCCTTCTGCTCACGGTTTCCTCTGCTATGCAGAAGCTTGTCCGTCGGACGCCACCCCGCTTGCTGACGCTCGGGATTATGTCTTGAAGCGTGGGGGTTGTGTCGGAAGGCCCTGGCTGCACCTGGTCCCCTGGGCTTTTACCTGTCTTATCTCCAAGCTGTCCCGTCCTAGAGCGCTTCCATCTCCTTTGGAAAGAAAATGTCCCCGTGAGCCGTCACTCCCGCCCCCGCCCCCCCCCCCCCCCCCCGCCCCGTCCCTCCTGACCTTGGAGATTTTGTCACACGTCTTTGACTGTCAGTGTCACCTCATGGGGCCGCAGGACCAGGCTGCTAACAGTGAAGACAGACGGTGTGAATTCACCGACTCCTCCGCATCTGCTGTGGCCTTGGCCCGGGCCCTGGGCCACCCAGCCACCGCGCCGTGGGGGTGGCCAGCACAGAGTGGGCGCTGCTCTCCCACACTGAGACCAGAGAGCAGTGGCACACAGTGTCAGGGGGCCTGGTCCCTCCTCGCCGCTGCTCAGGCCCTCTGCCCAGACAGCAAGCCCAGCCCCGCTGCCTCCTGTGTCCTTGGACCAACCCCCACTGGACCGCCCGCCGCAGCCCCCATCCGCATCCCTGCGCAGAACGGAGGGAGGAGGTGTCGGGCGAGACAGTGGGGCCCTGCGCCTGGCCACTCTTCACAGCAGGGGCCGGGCAGGGCGTGCACAGGGCCCCGGGGTGCTGGGCAGACGCTCAGCAGCAGGCCGCGCTTCCTCCTGGGGCGGGCGCGGACCCCACCCACTTGCCCGCCACGGTGGCTGTGCCAGGAGCGCCCGTCTTGGGGTGGGACTGGTCCTGAGGGTGCCCATGGTCCTGCACACCCCTGAGAGCTGCATGCAGCCCAGGCCTCAGAGCCAAGGGGGTGAAGCGTGGTGTCCCTGAATGTGACGTGGCGGCTGGGGGCTGGGGACAGCTGTGCTGCCCGCCCCATTGGCACTTGGGAGCTTTCTGTGTCGGCCATCTGTGAGGAGCTCTGTCAAACCCGGGGCACGTGGGGCCAGGGTTCCGTGAGTGGCCCTGGGCGCCCTTCCTCAGCAGCGGGCAGGCTGGCACCCAGTGGAAGCGTGCCACGCGCAGCCCAACCGTGTCCTGGCCGGCCCACGCCATCTGCTGGGCTGTGCCTCCAGGTGCAGGCACGGTCCGCGTCGGGCGTGTGAGCTGTGGCACACTCGCTGTCACATGCTCCTTGGGAGCCCACCTGTGGGCTGTTCGGGGCTGCTGCCTGCCTTGCCCGTGGCCACAAGACCGTAAATAGCCCGTGTCCCTGGGCCCTCATGCCAAAGGCCACACCGCCCTGGCTGCTGGGCTGGGAAACCCAGGTCGCCACCCTGTCAGGCTGCCGCTCAGAGCCGCACAGTTGAGCCGGGGACCTTGCCCCTGGGTGGGCGCGGCTCCACTGCCACTCAGACCCAGACGGGGCCCTCGCGGCAGGGCAGGGGCGTCACAGGGCATAGTGGCATCGTATTCCCAGGTGGCGTGCCAGGGAGGCAGTGCGGGGACACCTCGGATGCACAGGACCAGGCACGGCCTCGGTGACGCCCCGTGCTGTCCTCCGCCCGCAGCACATCTGCATCCCCCAGCCCGACTGCCCCGCGGAGGTGCGGACCTTCTCCTTCTACCTCTCCAACATCGGCCGAGACAGCCCGCAGGGCAGCTTCGACTGCATCCAGCAGTATGTGTCCAGGTGAGGCCCCGCCCGGCCCGGCCCTGTCCCCGCCTCCCCGCTGCCTGCTTCCGGTAGCCTGTCTGAGCCCCTGTCTCGGCCCCTCGCCTTGCAGCCGTGGCGACGTCCACCTGGACTGCCTGGGCAGCATCCAGGACAAGGTCACGGTGTGCGCCACCGACGACTCCTACCAGAAGGCCCGGGAGAGCATGGCGCAGGCGGAGGAGGAGACGCGCAGCCGCGGCGCCATTGTCATCAAGGCCGGAGGCCGCTACCTGGGTGAGCACGGTGGCAGCAGGAGTTCGCCCTGTGGGCCCAGAGGGCCGGCCCTGCGCGGTGTGGGGGACCTGGGGGACCGATGCCAGTGTCACAGGGTGGTGGCTCTGGGGCTGTGGCTCTTGGGCCTTAGGACACCTGGAGCTTGAAACTGCAGGCTCCCCTCCCCTCTGGGTGGTGGCCTTGGGGACCTTCCCCCGCTCCGGGAGATTGCAGGGCGTGGTGCGGGTGAGCACTGCTCGGCCTGGACGCCAGGACGTGGGGAGGAGCGGAGCAGTGAGGAGCGGGAGGAGCAGCGTTGCTGCCTGAGCGGCCTCAGCGGCCAGGGCCCGCGGAGCCGAGGAGGAAGTCATCGAAATGGGTCATTGGGGGGGGTGCAAAGAGCCAGGTCCCAGGGGCAAGGGGTGAGGCAGGGTCCGCTTAAAGCAGCGAGGGCACCAGGCTTGCATTCTCATAAGCACAGTGGGCAGGAGACACACACATGCACCCGCACGCGCACGCTCTGGGAAGCCATGCCACAGCCAGGACGCCCGGAACACCTGTGGCCTTGAGGCTCTGTGCACGTGGTGGGGGAGGGGCAGCGGTTAAAAGCTTTGTCTCATCGCACTAACTGGATCCAGCGATGGTTTCTGAGATGGTTGGTGTCCTGGTGCAAACACTCCTATTTAAAATATATAAATACAGGGCGGGGGATGTAGCTCAGCGGCACAGCACCTGCCTGGCAATTATGAGGCCCTGAATTTGATTCCTGGTACCAAAAAACATATATATAAATACAGCCTGGCCAGGTATGGTGACACATGCCTGTAACACAGCCAGCACTCAGCAGGCTGAGGCAGGAGGATTGTGAGTTCTAGGCCAGCCTGGGCTACAAAGTGAGCTCAAGGCCAGCCTGAATTACATAGCAAGACCCTGTCTCAAAATACATACATACATACATACATACAGCCTGGCACATGCTAGTGATTCCTATCCATAGGAAGGCTGAGGCAGGAGGATCTCAAATTCATAGCCAGCCTGCGCAACATAGTGAGGCCTTGTCTCAAGAAAAAGAAAAAGTTGAGATGTGCTTCACTCAGTGCAAAGATCCTGGGTTCAATCTGCAGAACTACAAAAGTTAAACAAAACAAAATAAAACAAAAAAAATCTGTAGAAAGGCCTGGGGTGCAGATCAGCGGTGTAGCACTCGCCTAGCATGCACCAAGCCCTGGGCTGCATCCCAGCACTGCATGCAGACAGCAGGAAAGATGTCAGCATGCTCGGCTGGGCCCAGAGGTGCTGGCGTCCCTCTGCTGCATCATCCCTGCAGCCTGTGAGGACCAAAGCCAGCCCCGTTGCCCAGGACCTCACTGAGCACAGCTCCGAGGCTGCGTGGTGGCCCTGGGCCCCTCGAGCACGCGTGTCTCTGTGCTGTGACAGTCAGGTGTGAGGACAACGCCAGAGCCGCTCCCCAGGGGAGCTTCCGCCCCTAGCCGGGCCCGTGGTGTCAGTGAGGCGGCTTGGCAGCCTGTGGCACCTGGTCGCCCAGCACTGGCCCCTGCAGCGCCAGTGCACATGCCGGGCCCCTGCCAGCCCTAACGCCCAGGATCTCATTGCAGGCAAGAAGGTCCAGTTCCGCAAACCAGCCCCAGCGGCGGCAGACCCTGTGCCCTCCCGGAAGCGGGCGACCCCCATCAACCTGGCCAGTGCCATCCGGAAGAGTGGCGCGAGTGGGGCGGGGCCTGGTGCAGTGTCGCAGCGGCCCTTCCGGGACCGGGTGCTGCACCTCCTGGCGCTGAGGCCCTACCGCAAGGCCGAGCTGCTGCTGCGGCTGCAGAAGGACGGGCTGGCGCAGGCAGACAAGGACGCGCTGGATGGGCTGCTACAGCAGGTGCGGTGCAGGCTGTGGGGCTGGGTGTGGGCAGCGGCCCGGGTGGCTGCCACGGGGCCAAAGGCTGGGAGGCCTTGACCACCGCCACCTGTCAGGCAGGGCCGGGGCGGGAGCGGGGTGCCGTGGAGAAACGCCCAAGTTCCTCCCTGGCCTGGCAGTCCATGCCTTGACCCCACCCAGGCCAAGGCTCGGGAGCTGGAGAACAGGGCTGCGCGGGGGCGTGCGTGGCCTGTGCTCGGGCAGCCAGTGCTGGTGGGGGTCACGCATTGCACTCCAGTCCCGCCCCACCTGCTCCCGGGACGCCGCCTCGTGAAGGGACGGGCGCCCTTGCCCCATGGGGGACTGGTGTTGGCGGCCCTGGGGCCCCCGAGGGCGAGTGCTCAGGATGACATCAGTGTGGCTCCCCTGCAGACCCGAGAGCAGCTCTGAGCATGCGGGCAGCAGGGCCCCCGTCACTGTATCCCGAGTTTGGCACGCAGGACAGGTGGGCCTCTGCAGAGAAGACGGTGCCGCCCTTCTTGGGTCAGCACTGGCCCTGGGGACCCACGACCCTGGGCCACCCCAAGCCGCAAGACGCCCCAAGCTGCTGTCCTGAGCGAGGACTCTCGGGCCAGGCCCGGGCACTGGCTCTTCCTCCGCGCGCTGGGCGCAGCCCCAAGCCATGTCTGCTTTCACGGCCCAGGCAGGAAGGCCCGAGCAAGTGTCTAGAAGGTTGCGGGACCGGGTGAGAATGGCGCGGGGGCCCGGAGTCCATAGCATCGCAGCGTCGTTCTCAGGAACGCAGAGTCAAGCATGGCGAGGGCCCCAGGCCACGTGGGGAGACCGAGGCAGGCTGCCCACAGCAGGCAAGGCACCAAGGGGGCCCTCAGGTTGGGCCCCGCCTACCGGTCGTGGGGCAGCACGGGCTGGGCCCGGCCTTCTGCCCTGCACGGGCTCAGTGTCCCTGCCGCTTACCTCTCCCGGGACTTGGCCTGGCCACCTCCGCCTCCACCAGCCCTCTGAGCTTTCAGAAGGGCGGTCTGGGGGACGCGCCTCACCCAGCCGGCCATTTGCCGCCTCCCTAGGCCCCGAGAGGCTGGGGACCAGCAGTGGCCGCTTGCTGTGTAGAACGGGAAGGAAGACAGAAGGCCTCCTCGCCCCCGTGCCCCAGAGTTGCGTGCAGGGAAGCCTGGGCCGGCGTTGTCGGGGCAGGAGCCCGTCTGCGTCGGGGCTTCCGGATCTCGCCCTGCGCCTGTCTGTGGGCTTCCTGCGGTGACGCTGCTGTCTTGCAGGTGGCCAACGTGAGCGCCAAGGACGGGACGTGCACGCTGAGGGACTGCATGTACAAGGACGTGCAGAAGGACTGGCCCGGCTACTCGGAGGGCGACCAGCAGCTGCTGAAGCGCGTGCTCGTGCGGTAATGCCACTACGCGGCCCACGGGCCACCTCCCCAGGTGGCGGTCCGTGTGGCCACCAGCCCTGGCACAGACCGCTCAGGCAGAGGCCCCATCCAGCCGGCCTTCCTCACTGCCCCGTCCCCGCAGACCCGCCCTCGGGACTGCGCAGCTCTCCGCGGCCCTCCCCTCGGGCTAAGGCGGGCGCCTGCCGGCTGGGCGGCACAGGGCGAGGCTTAGGGACTCACGGGGGTCCTGTTCTCTCTGCTGGGCCCCGCGGCGCGGTCGGGTGTCAGAGTGGAGCATGGTGGTCTTGGGGAGTGGGGCGTCGGCGTCTCAGTCCCTGCGCTCACTGGTCCTGGGTGCCCGGCGAGGCAGGCAGGGACATAGTTGTGACGAGACCCCAGGTGTCTGCGTGCCAGTGTGGCCGCTTGCCCTGGGTGTCCCCACCCGCCCAGCCATCCCCCCCCGACCCCGGGCCTGGGCCCTGCTCACTTGAGCCAGTGCCACACTGTGTGGGTCAGGAGGACACGGTGCCCGTGCTGCCCCTGCAGGCAGCAGGCAGAAACCTCCCTGCCAGCCTGTGGTCTACAGGCCGCTTCCACCCCAAAAGATGCCCTCGGCTCTGCCTGGGCCGTTGTCCCCAGGGCCCACTCTGCGCCCAAGGGGCACCGGCATCGCCGACACGCAGCTTCTGTCCTCGCCCAGGGGAGCCTAGGGCGAGCTCGCCAAGCCCGGGCCTCCCAGCGAGCCGTGGAGCAGGCTCTGGGTGTTTCTCCCGTCACAGGTGGCGGCTTGGGCGGGTCAGGAGCAGGGCCCTGTGTGTGCCACAGCCTGGTGCCAGCTTGTCCCACCCTGGCACCCACCTCCAAGCCTCTCTCCCTTCAGTGGGTCTCCATGGGGCCCCCAAGTCCTCTGCCCCCTAAACCATCTGCCCCACAAGGCGCCGTCCCTGTGGTTGTGCCCTGCTCCTTGCTGGGACTGTCACCACTCCAGCACTGAGGGTCACACCCGGGACTGTCCCACTGAGCTTCATGCCCAGCCTTTCGTTTCTCTTCTTTTCGAGACAGGGTCTCGCTATGCAGTTCAGACTGGTCTTGAGCTCACTTTCTAGCCCAGGCTGGCCTCAAACTTGCAGTGATCCTCCTGCCTCAGCCTCTCAAGTGCTGGGATTATAGGCATGCACCCCACGCCCAGCTATTTCTTTTTTTTTGGAGACAGGGTCTCGCTATACAGTTCAGGCAGGCTCACTGTGTAGCCCAGGCTGACCTTGAACTTGTGGCATTCCTCCTGTCTCAGCATCCTGAGTACTGGGATGACAGATATGCACCACCATGTCTAGGGTTTTAGTCTCCATTTTGAGATGGGGTCTTGCGAAGTTGCCCAGGCTGCCCTTGGGTTTGTGATCCTCCTGCCTCAGCCTCCCAGAGTACACGGATCAGTGCCCAGCCCTCTGCTGGCCCACCCACACAGTCTCAGGAGGGTGCCTGGGATGGTGCCACCGCCTGCAGGCCCGTGAACGCCGCATCTCCTCTGACCAGCTGAGGCTTCCTGGGCCTCGAGGTGTCTTCCCCGTGCTCATTATTCTCCTTGCCTCTTCTTGAAAACACATCTGCAAGGCTTCTTCGCCTCCCAGCCCTCTGTCTCCGCGACGCCTTCCCGAGATTCACGGTGCTGTCCCGTAGTGCTGTGCTCTTGTTTCCCAGGGCCCGTGCTGTGCTGACCCTTTGTCTGAGGGCATTGTGAGCAGCGCCCTGTCCGAGGCACAGTTCATGTGAGCGGGTCTCGTCCTGCAGCGAGCGGGCTCCCAGGGTGGGATCTCGGCCTGGGCCAGGCGGGCGTCGACCCTGCGTGGTCCCCCGGTGCCGGCGTTACTCCCCTTGACCGCGGCGGCGGCGGCGTCTGAGCCGCACCTCTGCAGGGCTGAGTGTGAACCGCCGTGGTAGGGGTGGGTCGTGGCGCTGCGATCTGTGAGGGGCAGACACGGTTGCCGCCTTCCAGCCCGAGCACTGCCTGGGTCTGAAGTGCAGGCGTCGCCACCCCTGCCCGGACACAGGATTGCACGGCATGGTGTCAGGACAGCAGGGTCCCGAGGGGGCAGGGCGGGGGAAAGACGCCGCTTGTAGCTTCTGGTCAAGGCCCAGACCCCGCGCCGCCGTCTTCTTGCTGCAGGGTCCCCAGGTGGCACAGGTGTCCCCGCAGAGCCACTGTGGGGCCCACCTGTGACCTCCTGTTGTGTTGGTATTAACTGTAGTGACAGGTCCCGAGAACGAGGTGCCCGCAGATGGAAAAGGTAAAAACAGGAGAGGCAGAAGTCTGGGATCAGGGCCCACAGCCTCTGGGACTGCGGCCCCGATCTCTCCTCCCAGCCGCCTTTTATTGGAACCAAGCACGTAACTCACGCCAACAGGAGAAACTTATTACCCTTTCCCATGCCTGCCTCTCAGCGGATGGTAACCATCCTCGGGCGGGCCTCCCACACCCTGCACCACGGGCCCTCCGTGCGGCTGGGGGTCTGCAGCCGACCATTAGTGACGAATCCTTCGGCAGTCACAGTCCTTTCCCCGCAGTCTCTTGGGCCTGCGGCGCCGAGCCAGCCCTTGTCCTTGCGCCTCCTGGAGGCCCTGCCTAACAGTGCCACCTCCCAGTAGGACCTTGAGCCGGCCCGGCTCACAGCGACACTGGCCACGGGTCCTGCAGGTCACCCTGCCTGCCCAGCGGGTCTCTGTTTTCCCCCGGTGTCTCTGGGGTGGGGAGACTCCCCGGGGCGCGGCAGGGCCCCCTGACCGCCTGCTCCCTCTGCAGGAAGCTGTGTCAGCCGCAGAGCACGGAGCCGGCCGCCTGCAGCCCTCCCGCCGAGCATGTGCGCCCCGCCTCACCCACCCAGGTAGGCACTTCCGCCTGCCCTGGCCTGCAGCTGGGCCCCTGCTGTGGGCTCGCGGTCCCCTGGTCTCCTGGGCCCTGTGGTGCTGAGCCTACCCTTGTTTGGGAACGATGTTTGGAAGCAGACCCCATGGGCCCCTGCTGGCCGTGCCATTCCCGCAGGCCTGGCCTGGCCTCCGGGCGCCCCCATGTGGCCAGTGCAGGCCCCACAGGAACCTGGGCAGCCACCGCTCGGCGGATCCCCTCTAGGATCTTGCATTTCTTTGCAGAAGCGGCCGCAGACCTCTGACTTCATCGACCCCCTGCTCCCCAAGAAGCCCAGGATCTCACACTTCACCCAGAGAGCCCCGCCCGCCCTCAACGGGAAGCTGAGTGCACCTGACGGCCGGGAGGCCCTGCTGCCCACGCCGGGGCCACTGCCCGGCGCCCTCCTCCCCTCAAGGCTGGAGCCCCCGCGCACCCACGGCCTCCAGGCCAACGCCAGCGGTGACCTGAGCCCCCGCAGTCAGGACTGCACACGCAGGGAGATGGCCGCGCCGGCCCCTGCTGCTCCCCCCCGTCTCCCCCAGCTGACGAACTGTGCCCAGCCCGACAGGCCCCACGCCCCGCCGCCCCGCCCTGAGCCCGGTGCCCACGGAGAGCCACCCAGCGCCCCGGGTAGGTGCCAAGGCAGAGCGCTGTCGGGCATCATCACCCACAGGGTGTCAGGGCACGGGGTTCCCTATTCCCCACATCTGCCCACTGGCCAGAGGCAGAGTCGAGGCCTGTGCTGCCCTCCCCAGGCTAGCTGAGGCCGCAGCCTGCTGGAAGCTGGTGCTCACGGGATGCACACCGCAGGGCCAGCCCACGGCCCTCACGTGGGCTGACGGCCCGGATGCAGGGGGTGTGTACAGCACAGGGGCAGGGGGCAGGGCCCCGCAGGGAAGCCGCGCCTGGGCCCCGAGCCCCACTGAGGAGCCGAGTCTGAGTGGAGGACCGGCTGGAGGAAACACCAGTGATCTCGGCTGGGGAGACTGAGGCACGAGGATTGAGGTTTCCAGACCAACCTGGGCAACTTGGGGAGGTCAAGGCCAGCCTGGATCACAGAGCAAGACCAGTGACAGGGCTAGAACGTAGCTGAGCGCGAGGCCTCAGGCTCCCCCCGATGCACATGAGAGAAAGGGTGCAGTCACAGGTGGGGCGGGGCGGTGTGGGAGACATGCGCTGCCAGCGGCAGGGCCAGGGTGCAGCCCCCCACGGCGCTCCCCAGAGGCAGGGGCAGTAACCCCAATAGCTCGGAGGCCCGGCCCCAGGACCAGGCCCAGTGGTAGCAGCCGGAGCCGGTGGCTGCACAGCCCCAGCTGTGGAGCGCTTGAAACCACGTGAAGGGGGCTAAAGTTCTGCACCCACGTTAGCTCGTTCCGGTGTCACAGCCACAGGGCGAGGCTGCCGCGTCAGCCCAGGCGGCCACTGTCCTGTCTCGCAGCCGTTGCCTGGGGTGGACAGGACCCCAGACAGGATGCGCCCGGGACTGTGGCTCCGTGACTCGTCCCATGCCCCAAGGGCAGCACCGCACCCAGCGTGCAGCACCCGCCTCTGTCCCCACACCACTCACACGAGCGAGGCGGAAAGGGGATGGCAGCAGGGCCGCCGCACGGTGCGGGCGGGTGGGAGCTGGGCCGTGAGGGGCGGGCTGGCGACAGGAGGCGTGGGGGCAGCCCTGCTGTGTAGCCAGTGCCCGGGCTTGGCGCAGGCCAGAGGTTGGCTGAGGCTACTGTTGCCAGGCAGGCTGACCCTCAGCTTTGGTTTACCTGTGTGTCCAGCTGGTGAAGACCTCAAGGGCTAAGTGAGGTGCTGCTGACAGCCTGGCTCGCGCTGTCCCTGGCATTGGGAGCATGGGCCTTGGGTGGGGTCGCGCGGCCTGCCATGCGCAGCTGTACAGCGGCCTGGGCGACAGCCTCAGGGGTCCATCGTGGTGGAGTGGGTTCGTAAGAGCTCTGGGGCGTTCCGTGTGTGCTTAGCCTGGTCAGGCAGGACAGGACGGCACTGTGCACGGCGTGAGCTCACCCTACAGGTGCTTCTGAAGCTGCTGTGGGACGGCGTCCTCTCTTGCCGTGTCTTCCAGGCTGGCCTCAAACTTGTGCTTCTCCTACCTCAGCCTCCGAGTGCTGGGAACACAGGCGTGGTCACTGCGCCTGCCCGTTCGTGGATCTGCTTGCCTTGCAGGGTTCTCCTTTCCCCTGGCAGATGCCTTCATGGCTCTTGTCCAACCCACATCCAGTTTGTGTCCCTGGTGCTGGGGAGGCCCTACTTGGGGTGGACGCCGTGCCCGCCTGGTGAGGACAGGCGGGCGCGGAGTAGGGTGGGTCAGCAGAAGGGCAGGAAGCGAGACTGTGGGCCTGTGAACTCGCTGCACGCGAGCTGTCCGCTTAGAAGTGTGTGGGGTGCACACCTGTGATCTGGTCACTGTGGGAGGCTGAGGCAGGAGGATCAAAAGTTCAAGCCTGGCCCAGGCAGCTTAGACCCTGATTCAGAATTAAAAACTGAAAAGGGCTTGGGCGTAGCTCGGTGCAGGGGGCCCTGGGTTCCATCTCCAGGACCACAGGAAAGCGAAGGGGCCTGCGGGCGGAGCCTGTGGGCTGGCCGTGCTGGGGGCGTAGGGCTGGGCTGGGTGGGTGCAGCCCCACCTGGGCATAGACTGTCCCCTGGTGGGTGCAGGCAGCCTGGGCCCGGCCCCGCTGGCCCGTGCTGCCCATGTCCAACAGAGCAGCAGAGGCTTTGGGTGGCAGCCAGGCCGGGGCAGGCGGTGGGGCCACCGCCCCTTCGTGCCGGGCCAGAGCCTCAGCCTGTGTTAGACGAGCTGCAGCCAGCATCAGCAGGCGGGCCCTGCCCGGTCACGTGACCTCGGCGCAGCCTAATCCTGTGCGCACCCCGCCACACGTCTGCCCTGTGGGGACTGAGGTCTGCCTTGGCTCTTGCAGGCCTGGATGGAGCCTGCAGCTCTGCTGCCAGCGTGCCCACCTCCACGTCGGAGACACCCGACTACCTGCTGTGAGTCCAGGGGCCGGCTGGGTGAGGGTCCCCGTGCCCCCGCCCCGCCACAGTCACCTGCACTGCTGGCCGCATAGCCTTGCAGTGCGGCACCCCGCCGCGGGCTGCAGACCCCCGGTCTGACGGCGCCATGTGCCCTGCAGCAAGTACGTGGCCATCTCCTCCTCGGAGCAGCGCCAGCGCTACAGGAGCGACTTCAACGCCGAGTACAGCGAGTACCGGGACCTGCACGTGCGCATCGAGCAGACCACGCAGCGCTTCACGCAGCTGGATGCGCAGCTGCGCCAGCTGGCACAGGGCTCCGAGGCGTACGAGGTGCGCTCCCGGCACACAGGTCCTCAGGCAGGCAGGCGCCAGCCTCCGTGGCAGGGTCTTGCCTAAAACACGGCACTGGCCGAGGTGCAGGCTGCACCCCGTGAGGCCAGAAGCGGCTTGAGCCAGGAGCTCAAGGCCGGCCCGGCCTGACAGACGGAGGCTAAGACAGCTCCTGGCTGCGGGTGCCCTGTGAGCGCTGCCCAGCCCAGACGAGGTCCTGGCTTCAGCTCCTAGCGGTGCAAGGAAGAAAACGGAGGGAGGGGAGAAAAGTTAGGCAGCGACGCTGCGAAAGCAGCACTGGCGTTGCCGGGCCAGGTTCCTGGGGTGTAGCTGGGAAGGGCCGCCGGGGCACAGGCTCAGAGAACAGAAAGTCTCGGGAGGACGCGCGGGGGCTGTGGCCCGGGCCAGCCGGCAGGATTCCTGCGGGGCCAGGGCGATGTCTGGGGCAGGTGGAGGCCAAGGTCCGGGCGCCTGCCTGAGTCAGCATCCGCTCAGGCAGAGGGGGCGCCTTGGGCCCAGGAAGGCCTGGAGCCTGCTTAGTGTCCGTCCCCACCCTCGGTCCCTTGTCCCCTCCACCCGCCGCTTCCCGCCTGAGAGCCAGGCTCCTGCCTGCAGAGCCAGGTCCGGGGTCACGGTCCCACCAGGGGAGGAGTGGGGGTCTCAGAGCTCCTGGGCACAGCAGACAGGCCCAGCATGACAGACAAGGACACCCGGCCGGCACCCTCACCATGGCCCCTGCCCGCTGTCCGGGTCCTGCGCCGCCGCACCCTGCGGCTGGCCCCTGCCCGGTGTGGGGTGCGACTTCGGCAGAGCGTGCATGTGTTCTCTCATTTCCCTGCAGACCATTCGGGGGCAGATTCTGCAGGAGTACCACAAAATCAAAAAGGTGAGTGCGCGTGCGCGGCGGGGAGGCGGGCTCCGTGGTGTCAGGCGGGGGAGCCAGGCTGCAGCGCCATGCTGCCCTCGTGTCCCTGTGCCTTTCTGGGGGGGAGGTCCCACGGCATGCAGAGGGGACCCTGCCGTGCTGGGCATGGCGCCCTGCCCACACGCCGCCCTGTGCCCCCAGACCAACCCCAACTACAGCCAGGAGAAGCAGCGCTGCGAGTACCTGCACAACAAGCTGGCGCACATCAAGCGGCTCATCGCCGAGTACGACCAGTTGCAGCTGCAGGCCAGGCCCTAGCGCCCGGGCCGCAGGAGCTGGGCGGAGGCGGCGTGCCGGCCGGGCAGCCGGGCTTGTTGAAAACAATAAATGTGGACACGCACACGGCTGCCTGGGGCCCAGCGTCCCGCCACCGCTGAGACTCTGGGGCCGGCCCGCGGCCTTTTCTAGTTTTCTATACGCTACCGCTGAAGAGACTCGTCTATTTTTGTACCAGAGAAAGCAGTTTTTCTAAACCTGTGCCTCCCTCTCCTCGGACGCCCAGGTGGGGGTGCCGCCTGCGTCCTTATGCAGTATTAGAGCTGTCACCCGCAGGCCTCGCGCAGGAGGCCTTGACGGGGCCTCAGTTTCTCCTCTGCAGCTGCTCTTCGCGCTCCCTCCGGAGGCCGCGATCCCTACGCCGCTGGCCTCTCCGTTCCTCTGTCCACTCGAAGGTCCCGGGGTCGCCTCAGCTGAGCTGCCGCTGGGTTTGCACTCAGGGAGGGGCTGGGGGCCCCGCGGACCCCCCAGTTGCTGCTTTGTCACTGTGCCTAGTCTCCAGGGTCCCCGCCGCGGGGCAGTGGGTATGTGCGTGCGCCCGTGGGGCCCTGGGCGCGGGGACGGCCGCGGCTGTTGCTCCAGCCCGCGGGGCTCGGGCGGCTTCCGCGGCTTCCCGGAGCTGGCGCCTGCGCCGTGGGGGCGCCGCCAGCCTCCTTCCTGCGGGAGAGGAGCCGAGCGGCCCTGCCCGGCTGCGGAAGCCCATCCTCGTGTTTCAATGGCTGTTTTGTTTCCATGGGGGCGGGGCGGCTGCGGAGTGCGCTGCGCGACTCCCCTCAGAGGCCACTAAGTCCCCCAGTCTGCCGTCCTTGTCCCGCGGCGTCCGTTGTCCCTGGAGGGACCTTGGCATCAAGCAAGGGCTCTGCCTCGGGGCGGGGCGGACGCTCCTCGCTCACTGCCGCGGTCTAACTTATTGATGCTGTTTTATTCTCCTTCTGACGCTGTACTGTGGAGAAACCACTTTGAGCCATGGACTTGGTGTTTACAGAGAATTTTTCACTTTTGCCAAATGTTACAATCGGAAAGTGTCCACATCTGCAGTTTCCTAATATTTTCTTAAGAGACCCAGGGTCCTTTTTGTACACTAAGCAGGTGAATGCTGATTTTTTCATCCTACAATAAATTTCACTGAACGAACCCAGCCGCCTGGCAGCCGGGCTTCCTGTGTGTGTGGCAGCGGGGTCCTCGGTGGGCAGGGCCAGGGCTCCTTGAAGCCCTCTAGAGCCAGGTCCAGGGGACAACCAGGTGGGCCAGGGTCCGGGGGAGCACCGCAGTCGTGAGACCGGAGGAATGGGGCTGAGGGGTGTCCAGGGAGAGATGGTTTGGGGGATATAAGGGGTGGTTCACCTGTCCTGGATCTCCCAGCTACTCAGGAAGCTGAGGCAGGAGGATCACTGGAGCCCAGGAGCCCAAGGCCAGCTTGGTCAGCACGGCAAGGTCTCAGCAGCAGGTCTGGCAGTGTTCCGTGGTCCTCCCAGGCCAGGCTGGCATGCCCGCGGCCCCTGCCACTACCAGGGAGGCTCAGGGGGTGTTCTCCGCCCTCGCAGGCACTGGGCAGGGCAGGAGGCGAACTCAGCAGGGAGAGTCACCCTTCCAAGGCCAGGTGGGGGTGGGTGTTTATTCTACAGAGGAAAACACAAAGACTCCTGCAGGGAGCAGAGCCGAGGGGGCCGCGTCTGCCGCGGCCTTGGCCTGAGTTCTGAGGAGCGCAGGAATCCCAGGGGCGTGGTCGGGGCGGCATGTACCAGCTGCAGGGACAGCCTGGCCCCCACCTGGCCTTCCCGCAGGGCGCCCCTGCCCCCACCGGCCGGGCCTTGGCCACCACTGAGAGGGCCCCTCGGGTGACACTGGGCGGCGGTCAAAGGAGGCCGCGTGGAGGTAGCCAGGCACAGGCCCGCCTGCGACTGCCGGGTGGCCACGACCCCGGAGGCCCCGGCCAGCGGCGGTTCCCCAAGTGGCTCTGCGTGGGTGGACAGGGCGCGCCCTGCCCTCAGTGGGCTCCCAACAGCGCTGCCCGGTGGCCGCGCCTTCACGCTGGCCTTGGGACGGGGCTGAAGACGCCCCAGGGTGGGGCAGAAGCAGCACAGGCCAGGGCCAGGGGCGGGTTACCCGCGGGGGTCAGAGTCCAGGGCCAGAACGTCTCCCAGGGTCCACAGCCTACGTGCCGAGCAGAGCCGAGGGGACTCCGGCCCTGGGCAGCGGCAGCGGAGGGACAGGCGGGCCGAGAGGACAGGCCGAGCCTTCCCCCACCGGGCTCTGCAGTCTGCTCTTGGCCAGAGGGACCTGAGGACAGGCACGGTGGCAGCGCTATCGCCAGCACTCTGGAGGCCAAGCGGGGGAGCCCAGGCAGCTCAGCAACAGACCCTGTCTCAAAAAATAAAAGGGCCGGGGAGGTGCCTCGATACAAAGGCCCTGAGTTCAGTCCCTAGTACTGCAGAAAACAAAAACAAAAACCTGCCTTCAGGTCCCTGGGGGTAACGCCCACGGCTCTGACCACAGCCTGGGGCGCAGCACCCAGACTCGGGGGCGAGTGCTTGGCTGTGACCTGCACGCCTGTGGGAGTGTGGCTGGCTGGAGCCAGATGGGCTGGCAGGCGGGGACCTCAGCGACCCAGCCCTCACCTCCCTCAGACGTTCTGCTCTCCCGGGGGGCTGGGACACCGCGACAGAGGGTCCTAGTTTCCACCAGGCGTGGTTGTACACACCTGTAACACCAGCACCAGAGGCTGAGGCAGGAGGACTGCTGCAAGTTCTAGGCAGGCCTGGACCCCGTAGCAAGACCAACACTCGAAACCAAAACAAAGCCAAAGGCTCTGGTTCCCCACCACTCACCCCTCCACCTCGCCCCCCCAGCTGGCTCCTTAGGCAGTCCGTCTGGCTGGCCCACAGCCCCCACCTTCCCTCTGGCACTGCTGGGGTCGGGGGACAGCAGCCAGCCCAAGGCCACCCGCTGCAGCCTGGAGCCTGCCCTGCTGCCTCCAGTGCCCGCCTCCTGCCTGCAGCCCCGCCGCTCACCCCAAGATGGGTCCTGAGCCTCATCGCCGCGCCTGCGCCCACGACACCCCTTGCCCTCCCGGTAACGACCGAGACCTCATCTCACTGCGCCCTGGCGGCCCAGGATGGGGCCCTTCCCGGGTTCAGCCGCCGAGCTCCACCACCCACACTTTGGAGCTGCAGCAGGCTGGGCGCTGGAGTCCCCATGCCCCCACTTGAGGTGTGATAATTTGGGGGAGCAGCTTGAAGAACCCAGAAAATCACTAAAGCCAAGCGGGAAGGCGCACAGAGGCGGGGCACGAGCTGCTGTCTTCTCTAAACAGCCAGGCCCCCAGCACCCCATCTCTGCACGCCCTGCTGCGGGGCCTCCTGGGGGTCCCGTGGGGTGTCCTGCCTCACCCCTCAGGAACGACGCAGCCCACACTCCTGTGACAAAAACCAGGAGGGGCCAGGGGTGTGGCTCAGTGAGGAGGGCTTGCCCAGTGTGTGCTGGCCCTGAGCTCCACCCTGGCGCATCCCCGAAACATGACAAATTCACGAAATCTGAGCCCCATGTGACCCCAGTAGCTTCAGAGATGGAGCCCCAGAGACCCAGGGAAAATTTTCTGCTTAGGTTCCTCAAAGTGTAGACTACCAGGAATGGGATTAGATAGCAAGGAGGCTGAGGCAAGAGTGCCCCAAGTTCTAGCCCAGCCTGGGCAACTGCCTAACAAGACCCTATTTCAAAAAATAAACAAGGCTGGGACACAGCTCAGTGCAAAGGCCCTGGGTTCAGTCCCCGGTACTGAAAATACAAAAATTTTTAAAAGACAAAATGCATGTCCTAGTGGAAATAAACCAGGGGACAGGACCCACAGCAGCCTGTCCGTCCAGATTCCCCCACGCCTCTGTGGTGCATTCCTTCCTCCCGGGGATGACACCGGACCCCTTATCTGCTGTCTGGAAGCTCAGTGTTGGAGCTCTCTGCGGTGGGGTGTTTGCTCCCTGACTGCCTTAGCCTTGGGAAACTCGCCTGGTTTCGATGCCTTGCTTTGGAGCTTCTAGGGCAAGCAGGGGGAATGCAGGGTCAGTTGGAGCTCCCGCCTCAAGGCCCCCAATCTGCAGTGCCCGTGTGGGCTTTGGAGTTCTCACTGCGTGGGTACAACTGGCCATAGAATCGAACTCCATCTCCCAGGAGCCAGGGCAAAGAACACGTATTTCAGTAGCAAAGTCCTGGTGCCCAGCCCTGAGGGTCTGCTGCCCCCACACTGACCCTTTTTCCTTCAAACTGGCCACCTAAGCCCCCTCCCAGGCTCTTCAAGACACAGGTGACTCTGTGCAGTTTTCTTGACAAACTCCTCTTCGTATCTCAAAACCCTATCCACCAGCCACGTCTTTTGGGACTCGTGCCCTGCTGTCGAGGACCTGCCAGGCGCTCCCCCCAGCGGGAGGCACCCCATCCTTGCTACTCTTTCACACCGGGGTCCCTTCAGACCGAGGCCTGGAGCCGGGGTAGCGGAGCCCCCCAGGCCCGGAGGCCAGGCCCTAGCTGCCTTCCCGGCAAGCATTCCCAGCTCTCCACCTTTTGGGCCGGCTCCAGCACTGGAAACTTTCCGTGCAGCAGCGGAGGAGGCCGCTTGTTTTGGAAAGTTCTTGGGGAGCCGCCTCCGCTTGCCCGCTGGGTTCCCACGCTCCCTTATCGCCCGGCGCAAGGGGGGCGCCCGGCTCCAGGCCTCGCTCTGGCACTGCCCGCGCCCTGCTGCTCCAGCGGGGAAGCAGAGGCACATGCACCGGGCCCCTGCCGGGACGCTCTGGTTCATCTCGAGGTGGACCCGAGGCTTGTGGGGTGCCACGGCATGGGAGTTCTGAGTGAGTACCCCTGCTTATAAAGGGGTTCTGTCTGGCTTTGGGGTCTCAGTTTTGGCTGGCCTCGGTTTCCCCTGCAGTATCAGACCTCAGGACACTTCCCCCTCCGCCAGCCCGCCCCCCAGGTCCCGGCGCTCGTTCGCGGGCTCTTTGTCTTGCTTTGTAAGATGGGGACCGGCGGCCGTGGCCCCCGGGGGTGCTGCGCTGCGCCGAGCCCGCGCCGCTTTGCGCGGGACAGGGACCCGAGCGCCACGGCCCCCA